TATCTTGGAGTTGGCTAAGAAACCAAGGAGGAACGAAAGATGCGCGTCGGTGGGAATATCAGGCGGCAGCCGTGGCCTGGGCGGGATTTTTGCTGATGTAATTGAGGGGGCTGGGAATGTCGAGTCACGTGCAAGGTACACAAAGGAACACGGTAGGGAGCTATACGAAGTATCACAACAATGTTCATTCTTTTTTACTGCGAAAAGAATAGTAGCAACCAGGTGTAGAAAGATAAAAGTCACTAAAGAGACAGCTAAAAAAAAATCTCAGAGAGTCATAGAAAACGCTTGTATAAAATCATTGCTGTAACAGAGTACATCGTATACTCTGCCCTACACTGTAATATTTTGCGCTATTCTAAATGTAGTGTCGGATAAACTCCCTACCCGGAATCACTAAGCCACAACGGGTAAAGCATCACCCATCATGGGACTCAGCCTCTTCCGAGTGGACTCGTTGCTCCGACTGGGATTATTTTGCGGTTTGGATTATAGCAGAAAAGGCTCTTTCGCAAGCGAATTGGAATTTTTTGGTGTTAGGCCATCTGTCAGTCCCTTGTTTGTCGTCGACCCACTTGCGCCAACTCCGCAAATCCAGCAGTTAGTCTAGCCCCCGTGTGCAGCTGCTGCCAGATCGCATCTAACGTGAATTGTCGAAACATAGTCAATCCGCGTCGAGGCGGGATGATAAATACTTCCCGACATATCTAAAGTCCTATTTTATCGTCTTTAATAATCCATCCTCCAAAGCATGAGCAATGTCAAGGTCCGCAACACCTTCATTGCCGTTGCATAATGCATCAAACATCGACCTTCTGCAGCCTCCCTCCACAACACCTCTGACCGGACGGTCAAATACTCCATCGTCGGTAAGTACAAATGATTCACGCACCACGTGTGCTATCTCGCTCCGATGTCCACTTCTTGGCGCCGTTAGACTGGGGATTCTAACGTACGGTCTTCTTCTCTTGCAGACATCCACCTCAACATATTCGTGGCTCGAGTCTCATGAAATTGCTGAGCGACTACGAACCTCCCTTTTACACGGCCTGACACCCGCAGAGGCGGAGATACGCTTGGCCAGAGATGGACCTAACGAGCTTCCCCACGATGAGCCGGAACCCCTCTGGCTGCGGTTCCTTAAACAATTCAAGGAGCCGCTAATTCTCCTCCTTCTCGGCTCTGCTGGAATCTCGTTTGTGATGGGCAACTACGATGATGCCATTAGTATTACTCTTGCGGTAACAATTGTTGTGACTGTGGGATTTATTCAAGAGTATCGGTCAGAGAAGTCGTTGGAAGCATTGAGCCGGCTTGTACCCCATTATGCCCATTTGATCCGTGACGTTCCAACAGCTTTCTCCGCGACAGCTGAGAATGGCGGCACGCCACCCCTGGGTTCAGGCATGGAAATGGACGAAATCCGGACCAAAAGCCCAGGCTCGGCGTCTGCCGCGGTCAAGGCTTCATCAACCGTCCCTGCGAGCGAACTTGTGCCCGGGGATTTGGTGCTTTTCACTACCGGAGACCGTATTCCCGCCGATATTCGAATCACTGCTGCGACACATCTCAGCATTGACGAGTCAAACTTGACTGGAGAAAACGAACCTGTAGTGAAGTACGCGGAAGCTCTGCGCAGCACATCTGGCGGGGCCGCTCCAGGGCTAAAAGGAATAGAACCCCCTCGATCTCCATTCTATGATGCACCGGCCAGCGGTGCTGTTGGTGCTGACATTCGATTGAATGAGCAACACAATGTCGCGTTCATGGGCACACTAGTCCGCTCAGGCTACGGCCAGGGCATAGTGATCTCGACCGGTGCAAAGACGGAGTTTGGCAGTATATCAGCTTCGCTACAAGAAATTGAGAGTCCCCGAACACCGTTGCAACTGTCTATGGATCGGTTGGGCCAGGAGCTAAGTTATATCTCCTTTGGTGTCATCGGATTGATCGTGGTCATCGGTCTTATACAAGGTCGTAAAATTCTCGAAATGTTCACAATCGGTGTTTCGCTGGCCGTCGCAGCAATCCCAGAAGGCTTGCCTATCATTGTCACTGTCACGCTCGCTCTCGGCGTTCTGCGCATGGCTAAGAGGGGGGCGATCATGCGAAGACTCCCTAGCGTCGAAACTCTTGGTTCTGTCAATGTCGTCTGCTCGGACAAGACTGGCACTCTTACCCTCAACCACATGACAGTCACCAAAATGTGGCATTTCGACTGCCCAGAACCATTCGAGGTGCAAAGAGAAATGACTTCGGTGATGCCTCCTGGCCCTGCAGCGCAGACAATCCTTCGCGTTGGTAACATTGCAAACAACTCTCGTTTGTCGCGTATGCACGCAAACTCGCCAGCCAGCGCATCTTCTGCGGCAGTACTTTCTTCCACCATCAATAGTGATTCAGCTGCTGCCAAGAGTCGGTGGGTAGGTCAACCCACCGATGTGGCAATCTTGGATCTAATGGATACCCTGGGAGAAGATGATGTGCGTGATCGTATCAGTGCTCGCGTCCATGAGACTCCGTTCAGCTCCGAGAGGAAATGGATGGGTGTTGTTATAGGCAGTTCTGGTGCTTCAAATGGAGGCTCCCATGTTGCCTATATCAAGGGTGCTCTTGAACAGGTCCTGGCGCGATCGGATACCTATCTCACCAAGGATGGTCGGGAAGTAATTCTAGACGAGCCCCGCCGCAAAATCATCCGGGAAGCAGCAGAGACTATGGCATCGGAGGGTCTTAGAGTCCTCGCTTTTGGCAGTGGAGTTGTTCGTGATATGTCTAGAGGTGGCAGAGGCTTCGGCAGTCGGTCGTCCCCGAAACTCATTCAGGGTGATGATGACGAGCGGTATAACGGGTTGGTCTTTGCTGGACTGATGGGCATGAACGACCCGCCGCGTAAAGATGTGCACAAATCCATTCGACGCTTGATGTCTGGTGGTGTGAGAGTCATTATGATTACTGGCGACGCCGAGACAACAGCTGTGGCTATTGCGAAGAAGCTTGGGATGCCTGTCACCGATTCCCCGCGTGCGCGTTCGGTCATCCGAGGCGATGAACTCGACCGCATGACTGCCGCCGAACTTGCCCAGGCGATCTCAACGGTCTCTATCTTTGCCCGTACAAGCCCAGACCACAAGATGAAGATTGTGACAGCACTTCAGGCCCGCGGTGATGTAGTTGCCATGACCGGTGATGGTGTCAATGATGCGCCCGCTCTAAAGAAAGCCGACATAGGTATTTCCATGGGCAAGCTTGGCACCGATGTTGCCAAGGAGGCAGCGGACATGATTCTAACGGACGACGATTTCTCGACTATCTTGCGGGCAATTGAACAGGGCAAGGGCATCTTCTATAACATCCAGAACTTCATCACGTTCCAGCTTAGTACCAGTGTGGCTGCACTCAGTCTTGTACTGCTGAGCACCACTCTAGGCTTCAAGAATCCGCTGAATGCTATGCAAATCTTGTGGATTAGTAAGTACTCCTGTATCTCATTCCATCCTCTGTGTTTCTCTGACAATCATTACAGATATTCTCATGGATGGCCCGCCCGCCCAGTCCCTGGGCGTCGAGCCCGTCGACCCTACCATCATGAGCCGCCCACCACGACCTAAGACAGCCCGTGTTCTGACAAAACCTCTGATCCAGCGCGTCCTCACCTCAGCCATGGTTATCATGATCGGCACATTGTCAATCTACATCAGCGAAATGGGTGATATCACCGACGGTAGCCCAGTCGACAAGCGCTCGCGCATTGTCACCGCGCACGACACCACCATGACATTCACCTGCTTCGTTCTATTCGACATGTTCAACGCATTGACCTGCCGCAGCGAGGGCAAGTCCGTCCTGCGCGGTGAAATGCCACTATTCGGAAACAAGATGTTCAATTACGCTGTTTTCGGCTCCTTGGCCGGCCAGGCCTGCGTGATCTACCTGCCGTTCCTGCAGCGCATCTTCCAGACGGAGCCTCTCGACCTCGGGTCCTTGTTCAAGCTAGTCTGCATTGCCAGTTCGGTTTTTTGGGTGGATGAAGGCCGCAAGTATCTGCACGCGATCCGTCGTCGGCGTGGAATGGGTTCCGGTTATAGCGTCAATGTCTGATCTGCCGATGCAATGTTTGTACGGTTCGGATTGCCTGTTACGATTTTAGAGGCATCCATGATATAGGCGCGTGTAGTTTATCATATTTGGATTGATATCCCCCACATACATAATAGAATTGTCGGTTTTCAGCATACATATTGTGACATCCCATAGGTTATGGGGCCTTGTTACCTAGGGCTTTTTGGTAGAGTCTTTCTAGGAGTCTTCTCAGGTACTCCCTTGGATATATTTTCTATAGGTATTTCTTCCTAAGGAGTATTATGTGCCTATATCTGTGTAAAACACAACGTTAGAGCTACTTATCCCACACTAGCCCGAATTATGCCCTCTAGTCATTAAACGTTCACAATTTTCATAGCAAAAAAATCCAATCTACACAGGTGGTTCCAGGGGTTTGGGTATACGCAAGATAATAATTCTTGTAAGTCACACTTAACTTATAAATAAAGAAACCCATTGGCTACTGCTAACATAGCCCGCTTGAAAGCGAAACGCTGTAGTTACAACACACATGCTAACTAGTGGCATCGTCACTAGTTATATAACTTCGAGTAATACTGTGACAAACATATATATTGGAAACGCTCTATATAGCTTTCGAGTATCAAGTCCTTGCCAAGTCACACTTAATTACAGGGCCGCATAGCGGAAAATTCTTGTGACTTCTAAATAGAAAGAATTATCTGTAATGCTAGCACAACCCACCCAAAGCGCTGGGACTAATTCACATACTTAGTTATAGCCTTAGCTAACTATGAGATACACCAAGAGATACAATCGGTCCTATTCTGCCATGTCCTGCCACCTTCTCTTATAAAGACATCCATGACTCTATCCATTCCAGTTTCTCCCTCACTGTTCCACTTACCTTTAGGATCTGTTGCCTTGAAACCAAGATGTCTTCAGACTATGATGCACCCAATATCGAAATTTCCAATGCGAAATTCGTTGAGCTCATTAGACAGACGAATAAGGTGTTTATTTGCCGAGCCCGCTGGCAGGACAAAGACTGCGTGCTCAAAGTGGTAAGTGATGCAACCACACATTGTGCCTGCGATCTCTAACGGGTTCGGTAGTTCCCTCCTTATAAATGGGACAGAATTCATCCACCGTTCCGTTCGATTGATCTTTTCAAAAATGAAAGTCGCGCATACAGTCGATTGAAGGCTCGAGGCTTTTGCGAACGAGGATCTGTGCCTGATTTCTATGGGGTGGTTGAGAATATTGACTTTGAGGCGGAGGGCTGGTAACCGCAGCTCAAGAAATTCTGACAAAACTTTTCCTCGGGGTCTTGATCCTAAGGCTCGCCCAAACGGTGTCTTGATGGAATACATTCCCGATGTGAATATGCTTGAACTCTCTAACTACACAGAGCAAAGAGCTCGCAACCTCCGGCGACTTCTGCTCGAGATTCATGAGGCTGGGATTGTACACCTTGATCCTTATCCTCGAAACATGCTAATCCAGGGTGATTCCGATTGGGTGCTCTGGATCGACTACGAACTTGCCCAGATATTTGACCCAGAGCACTCGGAGCAGCCCAGGTTTTTTGCCTAGGAAAAGGAATTTATGGATGCTTTTGTGGAAGCGCTGGTAACTTCGCCAGTCCCAGTTTGATTTTAAAGTTCTCGACTGACTTCTTTCGTAATATAGGATAGAGATCATAAGCTAGGGAAGTATGAAGAAGCGCGGCCGATTTATTTTGAGTAACCATGAGGAGGCGCTTGACATTCAAGAGCCCTTGTGCCATTCCATGTCTTTGTTAAGAATATCTTTCTATCGGAAAGATACTCACTTTTGTCATGTTGCGGGTGATACCAGCAATTTACCTCTGAGTACCAGGAGATACTCTTTGATCATTATCCAATTTCACTTCTGCCTACAACATAGCTCATGGCGAAATGGGCGAAACTGTTTAGTCTCCCCAAAAGACATGGCTGTTCTATGAACTGTAACAGAAGCAAAATCGAACCACATAGTGATGACTTCCACAGAGCCAAAAAAAAAAAACAAAAAACAAATCATCTTCGCCGTATATTTCTATGGGAGAGAAAAAATATTGACCGACGCAGGGATCGAACCTGCAATCTCTTGATTCGTAGTCAAGCGCCTTGCCATTGGGCCAGCCGGCCTTGTTATTGTGGAAATGAGCTAAAATATGCTTTATAAGCGATGGCTGATTTGGGCCTAGTCCCGATGCATCTCGTGGGCGCATTGGTAAATCCGAAATTATCAAGTCTACATACTTGAATTTAAATAGTTTACTTTATAGAGTTATTGTCTATTCAAGTCCTTCAATATGTACGGAGTAGTTCTGATGTTTTTTTTTCGCCACAAGGTATGCCTAATATGGGTGTATAGTATAATCAAGCTATAGAGGGTCTGGGTCATCCATGGATCAAAATTATAGAATTTTCCAAACCCCGGAACGCTATAAATACTCCGTACGTCGTTCTCGGCCCAGACCCGGAGTGGATGACCCTAGCGGATCGCTGCAGAAGGTAATTTTTTGTAACTTATAAAAGATCAAACGTACGATTTTCTAGGGTTCAATATTGGGGGGTGTATGTACGATGTACGGAGTCCATCCTCCGTACTCGGTACTCCGCATGGAGATAGAGTCATCCGGCATCGGTCCCGAACATGCGAATCAAGTCCATCCCTGCCCGACCCGAAATCGGGAAAATACGGAAAGAAAAGTAAGAAAAGGGAGCTTATCTGTCGCCAATCGTTGGCTCATTCCCCTTCGATACGCTACTACCGAAAGGGAAAGGCTTGGCATGCGGCCGAGCCCCACTTAGCGCAAGTGGCAACTTGGGCTTTATCTGTAGCCAATCAGATGTAGTAGAATACAGCGTCACTCGTCCAATTGCTGGTGGCGGATAGGAATTTGATGGAACTTGAAGCTCTGATATCCGCGAGACAGAGATAAGCCTCTGTTCTCTCTCGAGTTCTCCAGAAATTGGAACTCCACGAGCCTATTCTATACAGAAAAGAAGGGGGGTACCTGCAGCATATTTGTGATAAGCTATCTATAACTAGTTTAGCTATCTATAGAGAGATATATTTAAAGATATATAAGAAGGCCCCAGGTCAGAGTGGAACTTTTGAAACCTTCGAGAACTATTCCCCGCGACTAATGGTTTGATCATAATGTAATGTCCAGGTATATCCCTCAAAAAACAAAGCAAGGCCAATTGCTTGAACTATTGGCGGAATACTTATCATCCCTTGCCACTCTGCGGTTGTTTGAGCCGGGAATGACGAGGTTATGTGAATATGTGAATGTGTGAATATGTTAATTATGTATACAGAAAAATAAAAATTTGATCCCATATAACCAGACCAAAGACTGAAAACATGGAGAGGGAAGGGGGATAGGGATTATCCCATTGATACTGTCACAATCTCTGACCAAACCACTTTAACCACCTAGGCAATTTTTCACCTATCTCCCCCATTTTCTCTTCCCGCGCCTTCCTCTCAAAATTTACGGGAATCGTTTCAAAGAATCTCTTTTAACTTTTTTCACCTCTCGGCAGTGCTTTTTTACTTGGGAAACCGAGGGAAATTGCTTTGAATTGCTTTTTTTTTATACGGGGGACCCACCGTCGATCGACTTATCTTTGGATTTTTGGCTCGAGAAGTTCGGGTTTCCATCTTATATCGTCCGTGGCGAATTCCTTTTTTTCCTTAACTCTGGGACATTCGACCTTTTTTTTCTCCCTCTACTTCTCTTCCATCCTAACCTTCCCAAAACTTCGATCCTCTTTTAACAATCATGGCGTTCAGCGGGAAAGCCCCGTACGCCCCGGACTATGCCTCCTACAACTGGATCGGAGCTCCCTCCAACTACGACCTTACGACCAACAAAGACTTGGGCGGCGATTCCCGTATGCCCGCCTTTCTAACAGTGACGTGAGATGTGGTCTAACGTTCCCCTTAGGAACCGAAAATGTGAACAAATGGTTTCAATCTGGTGACCAGGCCTACATCATCGTGGCCTCGGCCATGGTCATGGTCATGGTCCCCGGTCTCGGATTTCTCTACTCGGGATTGGCCCGCCGAAAGTCTGCCCTCAGTATGATCTGGGCCTGTATGGCTTCCATGTCCGTCGTTACCTTCCAATGGTATTTCTGGGGGTATTCACTTGCCTTCTCTCCCACCGCGACCAACGGTTATATCGGCAACTTGCGCAACTTCGGTTTGATGAAGACATTGGCTGATCCGAGCCCCGGTTCTCCACTGGTTCCTAACTTGCTCTATGCCTTCTATCAGGTAAGATCGAACATTGGGATTGATCTTTTTTTGTGATCCCTAGGCCCATGCTGATTTTTTTTATTTATTAATCTCTAGATGCAATTTTGTGGTGTCACTGCAGCTATCGTGATGGGGGCTGTCGCCGAACGCGGTCGCCTTCTTCCTGCCATGGTCTTCGTTTTCATCTGGGCTACCATCGTTTACTGCCCACTAGCCTGCTGGGTCTGGAACGTCAACGGTTGGGCATTCAAGTACGGCGTGCTGGATTACGCCGGTGGTGGTCCCGTCGAAATTGGTTCCGGTTTCACAGCTTTGGCCTACTCGATGGTCCTCGGTCGCCGACAGGAACGCATGATGCTCAACTTCCGCCCACACAACGTCTCTCTCATCCTTCTCGGCACAGTCTTCCTCTGGTTTGGCTGGCTCGGTTTCAACGGTGGTTCCGCGTTTGGAGCTAACCTACGTGCAACCATGGCCTCTTGGAACACCAATCTGACCGCCGCCTTTGCCGCCATCACTTGGGTTCTGCTCGATTGGCGCCTGGCCCGCAAGTGGTCGATGGTCGGCTGGTGTTCCGGTACCATCTCGGGACTGGTAGCTGCGACCCCTGCCTCCGGATTTATCTCTCCCTGGGCCAGCGTCATCCTCGGCATTGTGACCGGTATCGTTTGCAATTACTCCACCAAGATCAAGTACTGGATCCGGATCGACGACTCTATGGATGTGTTGGCAGAGCACGGCATCGCTGGAATTGTCGGACTCCTTTTCAACGCCTTCTTCGGTGACGACGCCATTGTCGGCCTGGACGGCGTCAACACCGGCACCGGTGTCGGCGGCTGGGTCATCCACAACTGGAAGCAGCTGTACATTCAGATCGCCTATATCGTCGCTACCGCCGCCTACGCCTTCGTCATGTCTGCCATTATCGCCTACGCAATCAACGCCATCCCGGGCCTGAACCTGCGCGCCTCCGAGGAAGCCGAGCTGCTCGGTATGGACGACGACCAACTGGGCGAGTTCGCCTACGATTACGTCGAGGTACGCCGTGACTACCTCGCGTGGACCCCCCAGAACCACGACCAGCTCGCAGATGGCCACCAGATTCCCGCCGCGCAGCGCTACGGCATTGGCGAACACAGCGAAATGATGCTTGGTGGCCCGCCGCGTGAGATGATGCTCGAGGGCCACTCGCCCAATGGCGAGGCCAGCCAGAGCAGCCGCGGCGGTAGTGAGGGAGATATGGCTATGCACGAAATCAAGGTCGCTCCTGCTCCTCGCCAGGCTGCTGAGCAGCAACATCACAATATACATGGTGGTGAACCCACTGTGATGACACCGGTCCAAGAGAAGACGGAGACCTAATCAGTTTCGCTACATTCTCCCTTTTTTCCAACTCATTTTCCCTCCATCTTCTTTGCATGGCATACATTTCGCATACGCCATTCCGTCCAGCAAGCTTTGATTTTCTTCGCCTTTTCGCTTCTTTATCTCGATATCCTTTGAGCGTGCTTCTTTTCTTGCAACCAAAAGCCTGGGGCTTTTGCTATGTCTTCAACCTACCCTCCGACTTTCCTCGATACCTCTACCATCAACTCTATACCACCGATCTCATATTACCATCCAATATTTTCACCATCTGTTATTCGTCTTGACCGCACTCTTCCGCTACCAAATAACATACCTCACCACCTCCAAACCAAACTACATCTCCCTCGGGAAAAGCAACTTGAATAAGTCTAATTTGGCCTGGCGCTCCATTGTTCTATGTTTTTTATGGCCTTAAAATGGCCCAGTGGGGTTTGTACGTGTATACAAACTGCTTCATTGAACTGCAAGGGAAATACCTTGTTTTCTGTCTGTTTTCTGGTTTTGTGTCTGCAGTATAGAGCGAGACAGCCTGGTTTACCTAGGTTGAAACTTATCTATTATTTAAAACTGCTCTTCCTATCAACGCTCACTTGTACAATGTAGATTGTGCCCATACATAAAGATAAAAGTTGCTCGCCTAGTGCTGCGAGTCTACATGCAATTTATCCACATAGACTCGATATAATAGATCCCCAAACCTGAACAACAAAAAAAAAAAGAAAAGAAAAACAAACCAAAAAAATTAGTCAAACAAAACACATCAAATAATCCAATCTATACAAAATCACCCCCAACCAAAGCCCTAAAACAAAGACTTTCCTCTACCTCCTAACCATCCCTCTAACCCTAATCAAATCCTCCCTCCCAAGCTTCTCAACAATCTCTGCCGCAGCACCACCCCTCCTAACCTCATCCCACTCATCCTCATCCATCCCCATAACGAGCGTCATCTGCACACAACGCGCAAAGCACTCCCGATACCGATATCTCCCCGGCGCACCAGCAACATACCCAACATCAACAGCAGCTCCAACAATCCCTGCAACATCCCTCTCAAGACGCGCCGCGCCCAGTGCGTTAATCCGCGCCCCGTAGGACCAGAGTCTCTTTTCAAGTAGACGGGCCAGGTACGCGATCGTTACGCCGAGGACGCGGTCGAAGGCGGAGGGCGTGAGGATCCGTGCGTATGGTGTTAACAGGTCATTCCAGAGGGACGTGAAGCGAGGCTTGACGAGTTCTTTGTTGTCGAAGTTAGGATTGTCGGATTCGGTGTTGGGGTTCGGGGCGTATTCGATGTCCCGGAATGTATCTGCCAGGATCGGGCGGAGACGTGGTTTTATGGTGTTGTTGAAGATTACTTGGATTCCGTCTGTTAGGAGGTCGGTTACTTTGCTTTCGAAGGCTGTAGAGAGGGTTTGGAGGGTTTGGTGCACTTTTTGTGCGGTGGCTGGGTTTGAGAAGATTGCGAGGAGGTGTGGGGTTGCTTGTGTGCTGGTGGTTTCTGTTGGGAGGGGAACTTTTGAGCCCGTGTTGTTTTGCACGATTCGTCGGATGTAGTCTACTCCCAGGTCGAGGTTGTTGATTTGAACTAGGAAGGAGATTGTGGTTTGTTCTGCGGGTTGGCCGCCTTGTATGGAGCGTGGGTAGCACTCGTCCCGCATCTTGCGCTGCGTCATGCCGATGAAATCGGAGCCTAGGACGCGTGAGAGGGTCGGGACTACGTTTATCACGACGGTTTCTTGGGAGGTTGCGAGCGACTGCTGGATAACCTTGTTGACAATGTACATTATGTCGTCGACGGCTGAGGTGATGTGTGGTGGGTCGGCTTTTAATGGACGCTGTGGGTTCAGCGTGAGGCCTAATGGGGACTCGTCTAGCTGGAAAGCCTTTTCGACGGAGCGACGGAAGAAGAAGGTCGTCATTGCATTGAAGGGGGCCACCAGACGATCATTGATCTTTTGGGCCAGAGGTGACTCTCGCACGAAGCTGGGAAGTTCGAATCGCTTATCGTCCTCTGCGTCACCATCACTCGAAGACTAGAGAAGTTGTTAGTGCTGGTAGTAAAGAGGTGGCGGAGACTGCAACTCACATTACATGTATCAGCCAGGAACCGACAGTACAGTGACCACCGGCCCAACATGATAGCCATTTCATTCAAAACACCATCGATCTCTTTCATATCCACACCCTCCTCGTCGGCGGCGGTGCCCGCCCCCATGGTAGGGGACTGCGAGCGAGGCGGGCCTGGTCGCTGTGCGGGCAGGAAGCTCTGCACTAAGAAAGTGAAAGCGTAGGATTTGATATCCATCAATTTGCGATCCACATGTCGCTCATCGCTCCAAGTATCAAGAATGATACCACCCTGTACATCAGCCTCGACCTGTAGCCGTTCAATGACCCGCCCCATCTTACGGGGGCCATAGTGGTGCTCAACGAGCCCACCATGACCATCAATAATCTGCGCAATATGCTCAAACAGTTTGGTAAGCGCATTGGCATAGAAGAAGCCATCCTTAGTTTGAGCCCCCCGGCAGCCCCGTTAAGGTTAGCCCGAGCCTTGGCCGCGACGCCCTGGCACACGTAACGCCCATAAACATCGAGTCCAACCTCAGAACGACCAATAAGCGGGAAAAGCTTGAAGAAGCGCGTAATCTTGGCTCCGTCATTCTCCTTAACCGCCTTTTCAAACTCTCGCAGGAATAGCCCGCACAGCGACTCCGCCGCGTTATTCAGCGTCACGCTTGGCGGGTCTGGCACTTCAGCCGTAGGAACCATATCTGCAGCAAACGCACCATTGACGACTGTCGCCGGGATCTGAGCTGCACGGTGTAGGTAGCTGGCGGCTTTCTCCCAGTCTTGGGATGCACCCATCGATCCTGCCACGCCCAGCGCACACGCCTTGAGCTCGGCAACCTGCTCGACAACCTCTAGGGTGGCTTTCACCCGAGCCTGCTCGAGATCCAGCCGGCGGACTGCGCTGGAGATCCGGTCGGCGGTGCCGGCGGCTTCGGAGAGCATTCCATGGCTGATGGAACGGGTCGTGCTGGCATGGGTCCCAATGTTGGCGCGCATCAGGTCCAGCCTGCCCAACTCACGGGAGAGATCTTTCTGGGATGTCACCAGGGCATCGAGGCGGGCGGTCACAGACGCTTCTTGGGTGTGTAGGTGGGACAGCGTGGCTTTGATCTCGGCGACGGAGCTGGCGTTGAAGATATCGGGCTGTGAGGGAGAAGATGCCTGTGTGGGTGAGGCATTGGTATTTGTATGGCTTTGGGGCATAGAGTTAAGCCCATTGGCGGTTGCAGCCATCCTGGGCGCCATTGGTTGTCGCAACTTAGTTTGTTGATGCCACGCCAGTTGTAGGGGGAGCTGCGGGCGGTGAGGGTGGGTTTTACAGCCTCAAGCTTCAAGTTACTGTGCTACGTCAAGACTGGGTTTTAGACTCCAAATTGGTTAAACAAATAGAACTTGTCCTAACGTGCCCTAGAGGTTTTTTTTCCGTTTGTTTGTGATTTTTTATCTGGCGCGTGTTAATGAGGTTGTGAATCAGGCCGACGTCATTTTCCCCCACGCTCAAGATTCCATATCAGTTGCTCTTTTTCAGTTTCCTTTTTTTTCTCTCTGTGAAGCTTTCTCTGTTAATATTTTGACTATTGTCTACACATCTCAAGACTTGACTTTTTATCTGTCAAGTCCCCAGCCGCCAACATCGGACGCCGCAAACCCAGACGTCCAAATCGGCGCACCATGGGTAACGAATCGTCAACCGAGGTGGATGAATCCACGGCACCCTCGGTGCTTGAAGCGCGCAACATTGAGGCGCTCGCCAAATATGTTAAACAGCACAATGTGAAGAAAGTTGTGGTGATGGTATGCATTTTGAACCTCCATGAAACTTGCATCAGAGCTAACCAAGCATGCAGGTTGGAGCGGGCATCAGCACTTCGGCAGGCATTCCAGACTTTCGCTCACCTGATACGGGAATTTACGCCAATTTGGCAAAACTAGATCTACCAGAGCCTGAGGCAGTCTTTGATATTGGTTTCTTCCGGGGTAACCCCAAACCTTTCTATGCGCTAGCGCACGAGCTATATCCTGGACGCTATCGCCCGACCATCGTGCACTCATTCATCAAACTGCTTTACAACAAAGGGATGCTCTTGAAGCATTTTACTCAAAACATTGATTGCCTCGAGCGCCAGGCAGGCGTGCCAGGTGAGAAGATCGTCGAGGCCCATGGCAGCTTTGCGTCACAGCGCTGCATTGAATGCAAGGAGACCTTCCCAGATGAGGAGATGCACCAGATAGTATCCAAGTGCGAAGTACCCCATTGCCACCACTGCAATGGCCTGGTCAAGCCGGACATTGTATTCTTCGGCGAATCTCTACCATCTGATTTCTTTGACAGCCGCTCTCTGCCAGAAGAGGCTGATCTCTGCATTGTCATGGGAACTAGTCTGTCCGTCCAGCCATTTGCCAGTCTGCCTTCGATGGTTAGTCAGGGCGTGCCTCGTTTGCTCATCAACATGGAGCGTGTCGGTGGCCTTGGATCACGGAGTGACGATGTGTTGGTGATTGGAGACTGTGATGCTGGAGTGCGCAAGTTTGCAAAGGCTATGGGATGGGGTGAAGAGTTGGAGGCATTGTGGGAGGAAACCAACCCGGACCCGCAACAAAGGGCGGAGGAGAATGCTCCGCTACAGACTCGAGACGAACGACTGCAGGACGAAGTGGACCGACTAACGGAGGAGGTCGATCGAACTCTGGGGTTGACAGATGCGTATCAGAATAAAGTACGCGAAAAGCTGAAGTCACACGAGCAGGCACACCGCCAGTCTGGAAGTCTCGACCATGTTTTCCCCCATTTGGCGCGTAAGCTGTCACATTGAGATGATTTTCATGAAATGTCTTTGATAGGCAGAAATACGATATTCATTCCAATTTGGAGTGTTTTGTAGAGATCCATAAAATATAACATGGATACAGTCAACGTGCCAAGAGATGGATCTTGTGTCGATCACGACGTTAGCATTGAAGTCATAGGAAGATTTGGTATTTTTGATGTATTTTTTAAGTCTAAGACACAATTTGTAATAAAAATATTTATAGTCCAGAGATATCGCCCCTTGGCTCCAATTGACTTTCCTACTTTCTCTCCGACAGCCAAAACAAGACATCTACAAGTTGCCCCACGTTTTTTTTCCCATATCGTCATTTCCCCCTCCCCAACTTCTTTCCACCTCTTTTTATTTTCCTTATTCAATTCACATTCATCATGGTTGGACTTGGCCCTAAGCACCCGCCGTCCCGGAAGGGTGAGGCTCTTTAAACCCTTGTCCGTAATATTAACTAACTATGTCGTACAGGGTCCATGCAAGAACTGCCCCAGAACTTGTTGGGGCCCATTCAGGACCTCGAGAAGGCTTTCACAGTGGATCGCTCCAAGCTTAAGGAGATTGTCAACCACTTCGTTAAGGAGCTCGAGAAAGGTGAGTCGAGACTGATCCGGAGCTGTCCGATTCCCCGCATCGCTAACAAACATAGGCCTAAGTGTTGAGGGCGGTAACATTGTGAGAGCGACCCCAATCCCCCGCCTACAACATAGACTGACCCTTAGAAAATAGCCTATGAATGTTACCTGGGTCCTGGACTTCCCCGATGGAAACGAGCAGGGAACCTACCTGGCCCTCGATATGGGCGGCACCAACCTACGTGTTTGTGAAATTACCTTGACTGAGGAGAAGAGCGCCTTCGATATCACACAATCTAAATATAAGATGCCCGAAGAGCTGCGGACTGGAACCGCCGAGGAGTTGTGGGAGTACATCGCCGACTGCTTGCAGCAGTTCGTCGAGACCCACCACGCCGATGTAAACCTCGCCAAGCTGCCCCTCGGTTTCACTTTCTCCTACCCCGCCACCCAGGAATACATCGATCACGGTATTTTGCAGCGCTGGACCAAGGGCTTTGATATTGATGGTGTCGAAGGCCAAGATGTTGTTCCCCCTCTGGAGGAGATCCTGAAGAAGCGCGTATGTTTATCCTTGAGATGTTACCTTCCCCATGCAGGTTCAAAAGACTCACAGGGCTACAGGGCCTCCCCATTAAAGTTGCAGCCCTTATCAACGACACCACCGGTACCCTCATTGCATCCTCTTACACCGATACCGAGATGAGGATTGGCTGCATCTTCGGTACCGGCGTTAATGCCGCATACATGGAGAACGCAGGGTCCATACCCAAGCTCGCCCACATGAACCTGCCTCCCGACATGCCCGTCGCCATTAACTGCGAGTACGGAGCCTTCGACAATGAGCATGTGGTACTCCCTCTCACCAAATACGATGAAATCATCGACCGCGACTCCCCCCGCCCCGGCCAGCAAGCCTTCGAGAAGATGACTGCTGGTCTGTACCTCGGCGAGATCTTCCGTCTCGCACTAATCGACCTGGTTGACAACAAGCCCGGCCTGATATTCAACGGCCAGGACGTCTCTAAGCTGCGCAAGCCCTACCTTCTCGATGCCTCCTTCCTCGCCAACATCGAAGAGGACCCCTATGAGAACCTCACAGAAACCTTGGATCTCTTCGAACGCATGCTGGGCATCCGCCCCACCGAGCCAGAGTTGGAGCTAATCCGCCGTCTCGCCGAGTTGATCGGTACCCGTGCCGCTCGCCTGTCCGCCTGCGGAGTCGCTGCCATCTGTACCAAGAAGAACATCGAGTCCTGCCATGTCGGTGCTGACGGCTCCGTCTTCACCAAGTACCCCCACTTCAAGGCGCGCGGTGCCCAGGCCCTGCGCGAGATCCTCGACTGGGCCCCTACCGAGAAGGACAAGGTCTCCATCATGGCTGCCGAGGATGGTTCCGGTGTTGGTGCCGCCGTGATTGCCGCCCTGACACTTAAGCGTATCAAGGCTGGTAACCTCGTTGGTGTCCGCAACATGGCTGACATGCAGACCCTGCTTTGAGTGGGATTGATCTTGTAACGATCGCGACCATCACTGTCATCTGACTCATGACAAAACAAACCTTTACAGATGGGATGGAGTATATCTTTTTGAAATTGTGGTTTATGCCACTTGGTTCGGGGGGTTTGATGAAAGATTTAACGATATATCGATTCTGTGTATGTTTAGCCTTGGAAGGCTCGTGAATAGAATACCTTAGTGCTATTATTCGCTCAACTGTATACTGCAGCCAGTCCACGTGATCTGGATCATCTGCCTCCACACCACATGTGGACATCTCCCATCTCCACCTCTCGTGTCCACTTTACAAAATGGCCGATTCACATCCCGTGTTTAGTCCAGTCTGTCCTATACTCTTCGTCCTGTACCCCGCAGAAAGAACCAGACAGCTGAAAGATTATCTCCCAACAGAAATTGGCCAAGTACAGCGTGTGAACGTGAAAGCTCTCGTCCGCATGTATGAAGGTGGTGAACTGGGTCCACGTTACCTCGGAGACCCATCCGTTTACCTTGAAGGAAAACAGGTTGAGAGAATCTCTGGGAGGATGATTCGGTGCCAAACAATGCAATGAAATGATGCGAGGTATGTTCTTGACCATATACTAGACATTGTATTACACTTACATGGCTCTTTCAGACTGTGTATCAACGCAGAGTGGACCTCGGGAGCACCTCGGGAAAATCTTATGACAAGCGTCGGGCACCACCTTCCTGGTATTGTGCCCCACTGGATGGTTTCGCAGGATGAGGTATAGGAGAATAATCTTTATGCTTGTGTAGTCTTTTTAGCAGTCTTCTCAGATGTTGTTTTTAGATATTATTTTTTATATCTGTTGGGTATTCGTCTCAGTTTTATAGGTAGACACAGAATAAAGCGGATGACCAGGGACTGTGTGTGATATGCCTATGTATATAAAATGTACAGTAGCTATCACATCGGGCCTTCTTATCCCCTCAAACGAAAAATAGTGAAATATGAGTAATATATAATATGAGTATGATTGAATCGTTCTATTATCAAGGTTCATTCTACCTCCCATCTGTGGATTTATGATTGATCTAACTACCCAGCCATCGTAATACTCCAAATATTACATAGGAGATCGGATATGATCTGATGATATGTGGGGGAAAAGGTGCATTTAATATTCATGCAGTAAAGATGTTATAAAGAAACCAGACCTACACCAATGTATAGATAAAGATATAACATCAATATCCGGAGATGATAAATTGGTGATATAAAATATCGGAGCACGACCTACCTACACACGAAGCACACCCCAAAGCAAACAATATATAATCACCGAACCCATCTAGAATCACATATCCGTGGCCTCCCCTAAGCTCCCCTAAACCCCCGAATCCTCCTGCTCAATATCAAAAGCCGCATCATAAGCATTCCAAGAAGCACAATTATCCTCAAGAGCTTTTCGATCAATCAACGGCTCAATCTCACTCTCCCTCTCCAAAAACTGCAACGCAAACCCTTCATCCGTATGCCACCCAATATGACAATGCATAAGCCAGGCCCCGGGATTATCTGTCTCGAACGCAATGAGCAAAAACCCGTTCCCAGCCAACATCGCTGTATCCCTCCGCGGCGGATTATTAGTCGCAACACTCCCATTCCACGGATTCAACCCCTGCGCCAGAACAAAGAAATCATGCCCGTGCAAATGAATCGGGTGCGTCACCGGGAAACTCGTATTGATCATGAGGTAGACCCATTCGTGGGGCCGTGGCAGCTCAATCACTCCACTCGATAATGTGAAGTTGGGCGTGATTTCGTTGTTGAAGAGCTGCAGTAAGGTTGGGTCTTCCCAGAGGACTTGCATCGTCGTGCTGTTGAGGTACCAGCGGAAGAGGTTTGCGTTGTTGCGCCCGAGTGTCACGTCTGTTAGGTTGTTCCAGTCTGCGGTTGAGACGGTCTTGGGGACTTGCGGAACTAGGCTGGAGGCGGGCTCATCGACGCATTCATCCGTGAAGACGTAGGGTTTTGTTGTGGGTATGCGGGGACGATTGCCATAGTAGAGGATTCCTTTTATGTTATTTGGGTTTGCATTTTCCGAGCAAGCTTCTTGGGGAATCGCGCGGATCCAGAATGAGTCGGAGATTTGACGTTTGTTTGCTGTTACAATCACGTCGTAGCGTTGGCCTGTGGGTGTTTTCTTTTGTTAGTTGGAACTTTTTTAGTTTAGAGGAGGGTTGGAGTTAGGGCTAGGGGGAGTTGACATCAAAAAGTAAAAATAGCAACGAACCCATTCCGATATCGATATGATCTGCCGTAAACGGCTTGATTGGCACAAAGTCCGCCGCAATAACAGTCAGTGTATGGTTATCAACCATGAACTTCCAGTGCGTATCAACAGCTGAATTAACAATCCTCAACCGATACGAAGACCCCTGATCAACCTTCATATGGAACCGCTGACCCGTAGAGTTGGTACCATTACCAAAGACGTTCGTCCCGTTGATTAGGCCGGTATCCAAAGTCGGCGGACCAATGGTCTGAGCTTCCAAGTACAGCTCATCGACAGTGGGATGCGACCAGTCCGCCAGGAACAGACTGCCTTTATCGACATCGTAGTTGGCCGTAGCAGGGCCATTAATCACAATCCCACCAAACACACCCTCCCACGCCTGCAGTCCAATGTGAGAATGGTACCACGATGAACCATACTGCACGGCTCGCCATTTATAGGTTATGGTTGAGCCCGGCGCGGTGGGACACTGCGTGATGGAGACCACGCCGTCATTTCCGTTGGTGTAGTTCTGTCTGATCCCGTGCCAGTGGATGCTCGTGCCGTTGTGGGACCTGTGTAGGCTGTTCTTGACGTGGATCACAACCCAGTCACCCCAGTCTGCGAAGATCGTTGGGCCGGGGATTGTACCGTTCACGGCCATCACCGGTCGACGGAAACCATCTGGTGCGGCCATTAGCTCTTCGAGGTTGAGCCAATATTCCCGTGTTACGCCTGTATTTGGTACTATCTGGGTGTAGTCGGTGTTGACGTCGTATTGGCACCATTTGGACCGTGTTCGTGGCGTGTTGCCCGCACAGGGTCTTCCTGTTGGCTTGGTGATCTTGGTGATGGTTTTGGTTTTGGTACTGGTTGTCTTGGTGGTGGGTCTGCCCTTGGTTGTTGTCATGGGTCTGTGGTATTGTGGCTGGATATTCACTTCACTGGCTGGATCCCCCGGAACGGCGGTGACCGAAGCACTCAGGCCGAATACCAGGAGAAGAAGAGCTTGGAGCTTCATAGCTGCCAGTTCTACCCACGTAGGGCACTTTTGCGTCACGAGTATAGCTCTATCTAGAGCTCGAGAGAGACCAAAAAGCTTCGAGTTTAAGAAAGGTGGGATTTGCTGCTGATACACAAACAAGAGACCTGTCCTCTATTTAAGCCACTATCTTATATATGATAACGTACCGCACGACACGAGCGGGGAGATTTGGCCAAGACCAAAAACGCCATGTTTCTTTTCACGGGGTGTCCTGCATTCGTACCTCGCTAGCATACCTCACTAGGATATGCCGGGCAGCCCTACCGGCGATGCCGTGAGAAACAGAATCTTGTGTTACGCATGACGACCTGATAGACGAATAGCCATAGCGAAGAGTTATCGTCATCGTCCAGCTCGGGTGTTGAGGCTATGTCTTCAGTGGATACCAGAATGATAAGTTCAATGCGCCTCGTATCCACGTCAGGGACCGTCCACCATTCAAACCATCAGAAGATGGTCAGCTCAGGGGTCTTCCTAGCGGCTGAATTAATGTTACACTGTCTATCAGAACATGTGCGAACTGTGGACATTGCAGGTGGCTGCTTTTCTCTCGTAAGAGTACTATTGAGAAGATCGATAGCCTGGATTTCCACCGAACTAGGGCTATGTATTTGTCAAATTGTCAAAGTAAAATGCCAAAGAGCTACTGACGGAGATTGACAATCGGGAATATTCTCTAGTTCGATCGCCGTCAGATTGGCTTGCAGGTCTTGCATTAGGGTTATGCTCCCCGACACGCGGTCCTGTTTTATGTTGGTGTAACTGTTCTCAGCCTACATGTATATACGAGCGTAGGTATCCCACGTGTGGATCTCGGAAACTAGTATCGCATAGATGTTTCTGTTTTGAATCAGCTGGTTTGTCCAGGATTGTCAATTCTTGCGAGCGTTGACGCATCACATGGATGGTGAGTGGACGATCAATCTGACTATTGGGGTTGTAATAGCTGGGATCTGGATCCTGATATGGAACACAGCCAGATGACGACAATTTGCTTTTTGACTGGGATCTTGGTCTCATTGTCAGCTCGTATTAGTCCAAATCACAAAACGGGGCTTTGGGTCCTAATGTCGGGAAATGAAGAGAATTATCGATGGAAACCACATATGTCATTGGATAGCCCCTAGTGCGCTGCCTGCTTCTAATTTCTAATTACATCAACTGTTATCTCATCGAATATGCCCTCGTGACTCTTTCTTATTCTATAAGTTTTGCTCAATCCTGCCCCGGTACACTGAGGTGTACACCCCGTATGACTTGTTCATTGCAAGATGCTATCCCTTTCTATTCTTCCCTTTCTAGCCTTTGGGCTCATCTGTTCTGCAAAGCCACTTGAAAAGCGACAGACAACCGACACCACTTCCTTCAAGCTGTATGCGTATGGCCCAGACATTAGCGGACTGCCCATCTTCTATTTGAACGGTATCTCAGCCCTTCTAAACCCGCAAAATAACAGTATTGACTGATTTATATCACTTTGACAATAGGTACTGCCCATGTTGCAGATGTATCCAAAGTAGGCGCAACGACAATGGCCGCAATGACCCCAGTCAACTGTAAGTGCCCAAGATCTCCACTTGATGAGAAAACCACAAGGATCTACAGCTAACCATGTAACAGTCACTGCCTCCACTGATGGGTCGAACACCTGGACGGCACATCCCAGTTCTACCGAGAGCGTTACCACTCTCTCGACCAATACCAATAAACTGTGTCTAGACCAGGGCAGTACAAACTCCAACCCAGTCGGATTTACTGGAACAACATCGAGGGAGCAGACAAACCAGCTCAGCAATGTGTGGTCCCTGTATGGGAACTACGTCCTAGTCACTGTGAGCGGGGCCAACTTTTACGCGAGACAAACCGAGGACGGCTTGTACTCTCTACTTTGGAGTATCTCAGCTGAGGCGATGACGGATACTATACCGCTAGTGCTACGGACCGCTGAGCCGGCGACGGAATCTGTGACCTGAGCTGACCTGGGGTCGGATAGGTTGCCCAGGTAGATATCCTGGATTTGGTGGTGCACGGGGTCTCTATAAACGCAGGCAGCGGTATCGTATGTGGTGGCGTTGTAGTGAATCGATCTCGGCTCTGCTCACCCGGAGATTGTGTTGAATACGATATAGTGCAGCTAGTAATGCGCTATCGCGTATCATCTCTTTATGTTGTCTTGGCTGCATTGTGGGGGAGGGGAATACAAGGGTTACCAAGCGATTACTTCTATATATGACATATAGTATGCACTCGCTGATTCCAAAACACTAGTCCCGCATTCTTTAATTGTCCGACATAGTCCAATTGGAAATATATACCTCGCTAGCACTGATGGCATTTGGGCTTTGGGCCGTAACAATATCTAGTTCTTTGGATTTTGGATTGGGACTTATAGTTGAAATTGCTGAATATGGCAATGAAAAGCAGGAAAACAAAAGATGAATCGATATACATCTATGATATACAAGTATTAGCCACTGGATCATCGGGCAACTAACACGAGAACTCAGCAAACATATCAAAGAACATAGATTCAAGAAGTTGCTACATAGCCCTATTGCTGATATATGCATGAGGGTAACGCAGAGTTGTCTCAGACAAATGGAAAAGAAGTACATATGCGAGACTGTTGCATAAAACACCTCGTTGCTGTGCGCAGCCGAAGGGGGAGAGAAAGCCCAACAAAAGATTAGCAAGCAAAGTGTTGGTTGTGAAGAGGCCCCGGCATAAAAAAAAAAGAATCCACAGGGAATAAAATAGAATAAAGAAAAAGACTAGGGATAAAAGGTGAAATCAGGCCTAGAAAGGCAAAGCAAGGCAAAGAAAAGCATCTGATGCAACAATTGATATCAAAAGCCAAAACTCCCCAGTTCTCCCAGACCCAGAAAACGCCAGAAAATAACATGAAATAACGTGATGCTTGAAAAATAAACACCGGATTTCCCATCCCGAGCGAGCCCTTGATAAATTGATATCCCGAACAAAAAACATAATGAACCATTCTACATCTTTCATCTGTACCGGATGCCTTCTGCGAAACTAAACTCTCGTTGATCGTTTCCGCAGACCAAATTCTTGTTCTTGTAGCTCTCGTATCAAACGAAGACTTTCCTCGTCTGCATCTTCGTCTCCAGTGATGTGATGAGTATGCTTGTGCTGACGTGGAGATAGTGATGTAGGGGCGTGACGATGGAAATGCTTTTCATACATCGGAGAGCTCTTTTTCGCGTGTGAAGACGAGGGACGTGATGAAGGCTTTCTTGTTGATGCTGGAACAGGAGTAGTCTTGCGTGCCCCGATAGTCGAAGACGTGACTTGTGCCGCTGGCTTCGGAGCCCGGGCTGTACTTGCATCGGGCGCGAACCGATCGACGTGCCGAGGTTGGCGAGATGAATGTCGAGAGCTAGAGTTGGGTGTGTGGAGAGCAGTTGACACTTCGCCTTCCACAGACTGTACGGCATCTCCCTCTTGGACCCCATCCATCTCGTCAGCCAGCGACGTGGGCGGTGACACCAAGGAGGTGTTTGGCTTGGACGAAGACACAGGCACGGAATTTAAATCTTTTGCATCCATAGATTCGGCCTGAAAAGTAGGTGCAGGTGGTGGTGATGCGTACAGAGCTTGGGTTTGATGTGCCTCATTTGCCTCAGGCAGATGCTTACCCGAGTCAATTTGACTCAAAGGCTCGTGATCATAAGCATGCATCAGGTCGCCTTGCCTCATCAGTTCATCGCCATCATGATCGAAGAATACTGCAGGCTGTGTCATGGGTGATGTGCTCTCCTGCTTTGCCTTTTTGGCTGTGGTAGGCAGGTCATCTTCTTCAGCAAGGCGTGCTCGTTTAGCGGAAGCATTCGCACGAGGTTTAGAGCGCTCCTGAGCCTTGATTGGATCGATCCGACCGTACTCATCGTGAATGCAACGGCGCTAGTATTAGGTCAGTAACCGGAAAAGGAGCAAAATATGTCTTCGGGGGTACCACAAACCTTGCTCTTCCGACAATCATCGCACGCCTTGCTGCGCCCCTTTTTTCCTCCATTGGTTCCGTCAGGGCTCACATCAATGAGACGATTGGCGGCTATTGTAGAGTTGCCCATGACCGCGGATTGGAATCTTGCCGAGTTTTCAAATCGTTCCAGGTCAACAAGCTGCCCGTTATTTTGGAACCCAGTCTGTGATGCAATCGCTGCCAAAGAATTCAAAGCAGACACAGCATCCTGGGCCAACGAGGACGGCGTGCTCACCCCAGAGCCGGGTGTGAAGGCATTGACTGCGACTTGTCCGTTAAGCACTAGATCACCAGGTTCATCTTTATGTCGGCATCGAATGCGTCGTTTGCGACAGGCGTCACATGCAACTCGCTTGGGGCCAAGACCCGAGGCTCGTTGCACAGCCCGGGGCTTGGGTGTAGCAATATCTTTGATGCTTGTTTCTGGAGCAACACTGAATGGTGCCGGTGTTGCACTTCCATCAGACTGTGCATAAGAAAGGCTGCTGGATGGGGGATTCGGGGTTGCAGGGGCCTCTTCTGAAGGCCACTGGACCGCCTGTCTTTCGGCATAGGTGCGCTGGCTATCGACATTGCGCTCGGATCGGCGGCTTGGCCGTCCTGCGGGCTTCTTGTCTGTAATAGAAACCTTGGGATTACTTTCGATGACGCCAGGTCGAGTCCAGAGGGGTGCCTTTTCGTTTCCACGTTTCCAGGCGACCCAAATTCCGAACTTTCTGATCATGTCCACAGGATCTCCCGTGATTTTGGGAATGGACCTTCTGACAGCGTTTCGAACGTCCATGGAGATGACTCCATCAACTGTATAGCCACCCGCAATGAGTGCGGTCCGTAGCAAATACTTAGTTAATTCAAGTAGGCCTTCCAACTCCGCCTGGGAATAAAAGCGTGCATTATGATGGGGAGAACCTGGAGGTTCTTGGTTGGCGCGTTCTCCAAACTCGTAATAAATTGGATATTGGCGATGGAACCGATAGTTCTCATCCTGCATGAATGCTTCCATCACATTTGGCGGTACAGGGTCATCCTCCAGATACTTTTGAGCCGTATACCACTGGATCTTTTGGAAGAAAGGGTATCGGAACTTCTTGGGGACTTTGGTCTCCTTTTCGATGTTGAGGATCTTGATTTGCATTCCGTAGTTCAGTCTGGTCAAGAAGTTGCCACCAATAACCAAACTGTTTTCTGGGGTCCAAACTGCATGAATCCAGCCGGACGGGATCAGCATGGTGTCTCCCTCGGAGAGATCCACACGATAGCATTCCTTGGTCTGGTCTCCAAGGAAAATAGAGTCCTGGGCGGGAGAGTTGCACCACTCCTCGTACTTCTTGAGGTGTTTGTCTTTGGGAGGAATGAAGAAGAAAGTCTTCTTGCCCTTGAGGATATGGTAGTACACTGAAGATCCTCCGAAGTCGATGTGAAAGTCGGTATAGCAGTCTGCAACTGACATCAGGCAGTAGAATTGAACTTTGGGATATTCGCCAATTGCTTTCAGTTCCTCTGGCCACACAGCATCTTGCAAATCCAAGTCACGCACAACCTTCGGTCGCCGGATAAGTCTGCCAAGTTTGCTCTGCGATACCTCCAAGCTGATGACATTCCTGACAGGCTTGTCCTGCTCATTGCTTTCATAGTAATCGGCCCATTTCTGCATGTTCCACCTCTTGTCCTCTCCCTGCTGAGACTTGACATCGATCACTTCAACTCTTTCGTCGGGTCCGTAAAGCTCCGCCACAGCACGGACAGTGAGGCCCCGTGGAATGACCATACCCAAGAGGTCTTGGCCACAATCGACTATTTCTTCAATATGGGTCTCTTGTTCGGGGTGGTTCTCGAGAAGATCATCGAACATCTCTTGAGACGAAGCCTCCTGTACTAGAGATTCGTAATCTGGATTCCCCGAGGAAACAGGTTCGCGGGAGTTCCAGCAGGCAGGTATAACGATAGGCTCCGTCCACCCGTTTCCTCGTTCGAAATATTCCGCTGTGACCAGCTCAGGCTTCATTCGGGGGAAATTCTCAGGCTGAAATTGAATCTTTCCTTGACGAATGGGCTCGAGATAGTGATGTTCCAACGAGTCAGTGGCAGCTTTGACAAGGCCTTGGTTCAGGCCTGCGTAGTCAATAGCTGTTCGGGCGCGCGAGGACTTGCGCACAAAAGTTGTTTGGCCATAAACTGATCGACATGGCCGGCAGATAAACTTGTCGACTGTGCGGACCTCTCGATCATTCTTGAAGCCCGCGCAAATGATATGGAACCATCGTTTGCATCCATCGCAACTGATCCATGTGTCTTCATCTTGTTCCTCGGTTTCAACTGGGATGCGCACTAGATGACATGCTCCGCAGCTTGCTTGATTGGTATCACCCTCTTCCTCTCCCATTTTTGGTGGAATGGGGAGGGACTTTTGCGGGAATTGAGGTTCCTGAGGATCGGCCGGAGGATGGACCCCATAAGCAGTATGATGAAGCGTATCAACTGGTTGCAGGACTTTGCCTTCGTGTTCGTCCTCCCAAACAATTGGTGGGAGAGTGCCAGAGCTAGTAGTTGGACGGATTCCACGAATAGCAGAACGGGATATGAAGGCCGACCCGTCAGAGCGAGAGCGCATGCGGGCATAAGGCATATCCTCGGAATTGTGGCTCATCCTGACATCGCCGTGGCCTGAATGTCCAACGGCAGGAAACCCAACTCGAGCTTGACGAATCGCGTCGCCTGCGTAGTGATGGAAGGTTTCGTCGATGCTGACTCGTTTTGCATGGTTACTCGGGTGGAAATTAGTAGGCCGCGCGAGATTGAGTAAAAGCTCTGCATCGGTTGTCATGCTTTCAAGCCCGGCTGGGTGTGGGTTTTCTGTCAGCATTCCTGGGCCCGGGCGGTAGGGTGAGGGATGTCTCGCCGACCGCGCCCGCTTGGCTGGTCGTTCAGACTCTGCGGAGTCGGGTGGAAATAAGGGTATTGTCGACGGAAGGCTGGGGGAAGGCGGATTGGGAGGGAGGGATGCGAAGGTTGGACTCGTTGCGAGGGCGATCGTCGCAAGTGTGTCGATAGTCGAGCTTGAGCGGCCATGGCCCGATCGCTGATGCGAACCACCTTCTGCGGCGACATGTCGATTGTGATTCGAAGGACGCTGATCGCGATCAAGACTGGCAGCTCGGGGAGGGTCGCGGCTGGCCCAAGAGGAGTGAAAATCGGTGGTTGTGGATGGAGTGATGGGCTCGACAGCGCGGAGAGGAGGGGACGGAGTACGGTACTGCGGCGGGCGGCCGCCGATGGGATTCGCGAATGATGCCGCGCTCATCATTCTCGCAACGCGGTGGAAGTATAGGTTAAAGAAAATTGAAGATGGAGAGTCGGAGATGCGAAAAGATGCGCTTGCGGTAGGTGGGTGCAAAGCGGGGATACTGGACCACACGGGCTAGCGAGAGGCCGGCGCAGGCGAAGGGAATGTCATTCCTGGCAGGAGATCATGCGCAAGACGGACCGCAAGTATATGATTGATATCTGATGAAAGATTGAGGGCGAAGTAGGTGGTCGACGGTAGTCGCGGAGCGTTGAGGGGGTTCGAATCGAGCGGCGGGAGGACAAAGGCGCCGAGAGTCGCGCCGCAGCCTGCGGGCAGGTAGGGAAGGGAATCGAATGAGATCCAGTAGCCAGGAATTGTTTCCTGTCAACTGGATGGACTTTAACAAGTCTGCGAATGGATGAAGCGCCGAAAGCGAGAGAGGAGCGGATGAGTGCGAGGTGTTAAGGCGAAGGAGGAAGCGGGAGTCGAGTAGCAACTTTGAAGGTATGTATACGGTACAGCTGCGGGCTCCTACATTACGTTTGTGTCCTATCACTTTTACTAGAAAGCTTTGAGTTGTATATAAAGAATATAAAGATCAAAAAGCACTCATTGCAACATGCGATAGTGTTTACTTGGTTGTTTCCCCCCGTGCTCAATTCTCTGTAGTCCAAAGGAAGTTGGCGACGCCGAGAACGTCCGTCTTGATAATACAGTCCGATACCATCACAGTACCATCACGTGCTAGATTTGGCAGATCACCACACTCATTCTTATCACATGACTTGGTCACATACGGTTTAAGAACCAACTGCCACTAAGCCGGGATAAGTAAGCGTACCGCCAAGACAAACCTCGTGGTTGTTCTTGTGCCTTGCTCTGATCTTCTGCCTCTTCGCTACTCCAACCTGCAACTGATACCTTGCGTATCTTTCTTGTCAACACTTTCATCCAACATCTTCTAGGACTCTCTCGCCTCTGAGAATGAGCCGAAAGCTCGCCCCCGAAGCCAATCGGTATGTGAGAATACTTTTTCTATGCCCCTCCCCCGATTCTCGGCACAAGTGCCATTTCGCCATCAAATGCTTGATTGTTGGGTCTAGGAGATCCCTGACATCTTGAAGTGACTAGCGCTAACCTCTTTTTTTTCTGCTTTTACAGGATTCTCTTCGTCAAGAACCTCAAGTATGTACCTGAATTTCGCCGCTTTGCACCGGCCCGCTTTCCCGGCGGATCAGCCCTACAACTCGCCATTTGCAATCGCGATCGGATCGCTGACATCTTTCTCAACAGCTATAACGTAACAGCCGAGCAACTGTTCGACCTATTTGGCAAATTTGGACCCATTCGGTAAATAGTCACCCATGGTCTCGTGTTAGAACCCGATCTAATACCATCTCATTTGCAGGCAAATTCGCCAGGGTATCGCCAATACCTCTAAGGGAACCGCATTCGTTGTTTACGAAGACGTCCACGACGCCAAGCAGGCATGCGATAAGCTCAATGGTTTCAACTTCCAGAACAGATACTTGGTTGGTACGTACTGCATATGGATCAAATGAGCATCAGGCATTCTTTGGAGATGACTAACTTTGGGTGTTATAGTCTTGTATCATCAGCCAGAGAAGATGGTCCGTACGAAAGAGGACATTACGGAAAGGCAGGAGAATTTAGAACGGCTCAAACAGCAACACGGGATAGAATGATGTGACGAATTCTTTTTCTCTTCCCTCTGCTAGCATTTAGCTGTGCATGGTATTGCAACGGCTCTACTATTCAATCGCGGCTTGGTTGAGGGGTTTCCGGCGTTTTTTATTCCCTGGGGTTTTTTTTCTTATTTCAGAGGGTTTGATGGTGGGCGAGGCTGGTTCTGGTCGTCATATATTGACCCAGAAATGATGTGAACAACACGCCGGCGAGATCTGATTTCTTCTTATGTTTATTCTATTTAACCATTATTACTATTACTCTCTTCGTCAATTCGACCCTCCACTTTGCTCCAACATCCTCTGTGCTATGGCTAGGTGCTGAGTATATAGGTTCTTCTGAATGTCACACTGGAAGCGACAACGTGTCGAATCTTGAGCTATTTCGATCATCTGGATTTACAATATCAAGCTAAAACCGGGGCCTAGCTATTTACGTCAGGCGCATCACTGATACCCACTCTTATACAGGGGATTCTAAGCTTGGCATCAACTTACCTAGGTCACTGTTTCCTCTGCCGGGTCTTTCTATCTTAGCTGCCGCTTTTACGAGGGCGCTCAGAGTCAGGCTGGGTAAATTTCAGTCCGGGCTCAGACTTGGTGATTGTGCTTGAATGCTCACTGATTACTCAGACTGATCATAGGAATCTATTGAGCACTCAATCCATGCTCAATCCATGCCTAAAGGAGCACTTTGCCCCACAATATTGTTTATTTTGCGATCATTTTTTTATGGCCCTCACTTCTCACCATGGCCCGATTTCTAGAAGTACACGATCTTCTAGTCTTGTTCCCCTCTCAAAAATAACGCACTGATACACGATGACGTAAAATTGGAAGGCACCGACCTTATCTATAACGAGACGACGCCTAAATTACTGAATTAAAACTCTTCTTTTCTATAAAAGAAGAAATCGCCGGAGAGAAGCGCTATAAATAATTGATAGAGAGCGGCTATATTTTCGGCGCTTATATAAAAGATGATTCTATCCGAGAGAAAGATAAACGGTTACCTAAGACCAAGAAGATAACTAACTAACTATAGTTAACTATGGATAGTTAAGACATGATAAGGCTGCATAAGCGGCAGACAATTCTTATAATAATACAAATAAAAATAAATAACCGGTCGAAAGAAGTAAAGTACAGGGATATCATCGAGTCGAAACTAGCCGCCTTGTTCGCCTGTGAGAAGCAAGCTTGAATTGAAGATTTTTCTCATCTCGTAGGAGGTAGGAATGAAAGTGTTTACCGTAAGCGGCGCCGCAACCTCAAAATCGATAAGAGTCACAGCCCTGCTCTCTCTTGCATATAGAACATTGTGCTTCCCAGGGTCGTCAAGACGAATAGATATTTCACGAAGCGCGTGGATAGCCTTTAAACATTCGTTTTCAATGTAGGCTCGCTCAGCTACATTAAGCATATACCAGATATCAGAGAGTCGCTCCCCCTCCCGGTATTCCATAATAATCACGTAACCTGCCGGAAATAGACTCGAGCATACCACTTGTCTTGCAATACACTTAGGGAAAAGATAACATCCAGCCGGGTGGGCTGTTTCTAGGCGATGGTAAACACCGGCTTCATTATCAAATCTAGTTATATAAAGGCCATTAGCTAAGCCCAATAATAGAACACGGCGTAACCCACGGTGCATCTAAGTCAGGTATCCAGCATTTTAGTACTCGTCGAACTCCATTTATTTCTGCTAACCACACCGCCTTTTCCCGGTTGTCGGGAAGTGACATTTGTTCCACGCAGTTAATAATCACAGGTGTTGTGGTGCTACATTCAATAGCCACGCTAGTCGGTGTGATAGTCTGGGGGGTGCCTAGGGGAGGTAAATCTTGGACGAAGAAGGCATAGCCTTTCTGATGCTGGAAGCCTGGAAATACCTCTTAACTTTTATATATGTTAGCAGCTACCCGTATATCTAAAGTTCACCTAGATAGGCACTTGCCATTATCGCCGTGTTAGGGTCACTTTCATGGTAATTTGGATCTAACCTGGACAGAAGACAAAATCCAAAGAACATTTCTCGGAGGGACGGGCCTTGACAATCATATCCGATGGGCCGTGAGAGGAGGTACGAAAGGTCGCTAGCTCTCTTAATAAACACAATGAAGTTATACGTAGTCAAAAAGGCGTATCTGACCCGTGCCATTCGCATTTGGGCTGTAACTTGTCCGAGAAATGAGAAGGGTTAGCCGGGATTAAGTGATGATATGAGTCAGTAATAAGGGTATATACCAATCAGAGTTTCTAAGCGAGGGTGTGGGTTTGGACAATTGATTTCCATTTCGTGGAAATTCACTGTCCAGGGTGTCTTAAACTCGCCAACCATAGAAGTGCCGCCAAGAGAAGCAGAGGATTCTGGATTCACAACGAGACCGAAAGCGATATCTGGGATAACTCTATCAGAGAAGGTGAGAGCTTGGATATCAGCGAATCGTACGGAGTGCATTTCAGACAGCGGCATCAATGCTTGAATAACAGGATCGCAAAGGTTTCGTACGAATCTTCCGGAAAGACCGAGTTCACTGCCCACAACATAGTTTTCAGACTCATTGTTGATAGGGACTTGATGCGTGAATGGTGTCGAGTGAAACATTTAGGTCATAACGTCTTGCACAAACGAGGCCCAGTGTCCCATATACCCCAAAGCCACACGGTCATTGTGAATAGACGGGTGCGTTATGCCACCATTTCGTAGTAAGGGTGCTAAAGGGCGAGCCAGCTGTAATCGAGCGGGTTCCATGTTGTGTCGGTTAAGAGGAGCATGTGTTGAAGACAGAAGATTGGAGAGTGCAGAAGAGTCGAGGCCCTGTGGCCCATGTATGCGGTCACGTGTCAACTGATTTTGAGCCTAACTTTGGAATGCACGTTGAGAAAAGAGTTCAAGAGTAAGGCGTTCCGCCTGGTCGAGGACGAAGAACTGAACGAGTAACAAGAACGGCTTTTACGTGGAGTCAATCATACGTGAAGATAACTTCAATTATTAGGACTAAGTGTACAAGTGGAAGAATAAATTATTAGGACTAAGTGTACAAGAGGAAGAATAAGTTGGGAGGCATAGATCAAATTAGCCGTCCCGTGCAAAACCTTGGAAGGGAAATGCCATCTTGTCGATCCTGCGGGGACCCTGACACCGCCTAGGACCGCGAGTGGAATCGCCATCACGTTCTTTTCCCTTTCTTTTTACCCTCAGGAAGAACTACTTTTCAATTCAGATCGTTTCTTATTTATCTATTCTGATTCATTGCTACTCATTTCGATGTCACGCGTATGACGTCCGGCTCAGACGTCTCCGCCTTTGACCAACCTTCCGAGGTTACTAGCTTACTATTACCATCTGGCTTCCAGCATATGTCGCGTTCCACCTGCGCTTTCTCACCATCTTACTGGTTTTACCAGACTAAGAAATGATGGGCGACACGACCGGCTCATTGGCTTCGATAACCACGACCACGCTTATCGCTGCTACCGGCACCCTAGCTATTCCAACCCCCTCGAGTGTACACACACTATACTATCATGCAGCAAATTCTTCAAGCCCAGGGCAGGATTCAAATGACGAAGGAGGAGAATGCAAGCTACTTGGTCCATTCTCTGTATTTGTGCAGATTGCTCTTGGTGGCCTCGCATTATTATCTCTAGTCTTTAAGAGATGGAGAGAACGACCACAGCGCCCGGTGAAGGTTTGGGCCTTTGACGTCTCAAAACAAGTTTTCGGATCGGTGATGCTTCACATGCTAAATCTTGTCATGTCGATGTTTTCAGCGGGCCAGCTAGAGATTCGAAACTCGTACAAGCCGAACCCATGCTCGTTCTACTTACTAAACCTAGGAATCGACGTGCGTTTCTACCGATATTGCTTTGATTTCTTCTGAGGAGCTGCTGGCTAACTGATGGAATAGACTACTCTCGGTATCCCCATTCTGATCCTCCTTCTCCGTGTGCTCAATTATTTGGCATCATACACACCTCTTGCAAACCCACCAGAATCGATAGAGTCAGGAAATTATGGCCAGCCTCCACGGGTAACATGGTGGCTCAAACAGGCCATCGTTTATTTCATGGGATTGCTCGGCATGAAGATATGTGTCTTCTTCCTCATCCAGCTCTTACCTTTCATTGTCAAAATCGGCGACTGGGCTCTAAGATGGACAGAAGGCAACACTGCTGTCCAGATCTTCTTCGTCATGCTTCTTTTCCCAGTCATCATGAATGCCATACAGTATTATATTATCGACATATTTATCAAGAAACCAGTCTCGCAGTACGCGGTGGATGACACGATTAGAGATGCTGCCACAGATGACGATGCTGACCGTCGGGAGGCTCTTCTTGCCGACGAGACATATTCAACTGATTCCGACGACGAAGAATCTGGAAAATCCCCGAGAACCACCTCACAGCCGAAGGCTACTGCAGACGCTCTCGCACTCCAAGAATCCGAGCATTTACTTCCCGAGGATCACAATCCTGTTCCTCCATATGAACCTCCGAGCTCGAGTAGTGGTGGTGATGAACCTGGCCCAAAAGCCAGTTCAACACATGACTGAATATTACTTTTGTTTGGGCTTTGGAAATTTCATATTTGCTTTGTTATGGTGTTACTAGTGATTTTTAACGTGTATACGATTATTTCGTTCTTTGCATATTAGTATGACCATTACATATCATTTCCCCTGATACCTTATGTATGTAGTGTGCACACATCCAGGTTATCCATTTGCATACCTGTTGTTCGTATTACTCGTGATCGAACCATCTATTACAGTCAATGTACTGAGACATTGTATCCGGAGCAAAATTGAAGTTAGTGTCTCTTATTCTGTCTGCGTCTTCATCTTCACCTTTTGCTGCCTTTTTTCATGTACAAAAGAAAAATGCTTTAGCTCTAAATATGATCGTTCATACCAATTTCCTATAGCTACGCAGACGATGAAAAGCATGTCAAATGAGTTTATCGAAGTTGATTTGGACTAATTTGATGCCCTAAATTCAAGGCCACATTATATGCCGCCTTTTACACCGCCCTGTTCTGCTGGTTCTGGAAAACTCAAAGAAGAAAAATATTCAAGCTCCGCCTGAGGAACATTCGCAGCCTACAATTGCATTATTGCATTCAAGTGTCAATTCGGTGACCAAGTCTGCAAGCAGTTGTGCTTGATTGGCTGATATTCCTACACCAACCACCATGCCTAACGTAGGCCTAAAGGAAAAGTCCAAGCGGACGACCACCCGGTCTCCGTTCGAGAACACTACGGCCAATCTCCGCCCAGAGGACTCAGATGTCGAGATGGACGACGAAACGAGCTCGGATGAGGACGATGTCCCCGAGAAAGACGAAGCGGAGAAGAAGCTAGAGCGTATGCTTTTTGGCGACGATGAGGGGTTCATGGGCGCATTGAAGGACCAGCAGGCTCGCGAGGCCGGTATGGCTCTTACTCTGCACAGTGATGACGATAGTGATGATGGCGAAGATGCCGAGAAAGGCGAGGGCCAAGATTTGGCTGCTCTAGCTGATTCAGACGTATGCGACTCCACTCCCATGCATTTACAGACCTCAACCTTTCGATCTAACAATTTGCTTTTATCTAGCTTTTCTTCCTTGACTCCGGTGCACCCCCCACCACTGATTTCATCCCATCGCCGGAAGCCCCGTCGGACGCTGAGGACGACGACGAAGAAGAAGAGGACGAACCCGCAGTATGGTACGACAGCGACGATGAGCGCCTCGCTGTGTCGTTAGCAAGCCAAGCCAGGCTGCGCAAACTGCGCAACACCGAAGCCGAAGATGTAGTCAGCGGCAAGGAATACGTCCGACGACTGCGCAGACAGTTCACACGCCTGCACCCGACACCAGAGTGGGCCACGCCTGAGCTCAAACGCCGCAAGACGGACTCGGACTCGGACGCAGACAGCGAGGCGATCGACTCGGATGACGAGAACGAGAACCTCTCCATGCAGCCTCTAGCCAAGCTCCTCCAAAATGCTTCCGACCTAACGCGCATAGAAGACAACGCGCGCTCCGGCGGAAAGCGCAAGCTGCGCCAGGAAGTCATCGACATCCAAAGACTGAAGGACATCGGCAAATCCCAACCCTCCTCCGTCGACTCCCTGAACTTCCACCCACACTACCCGCTCCTGCTCTCTTCCGGACCAGCCTCCACCCTTTTCCTGCATCACATCTCTCCCTCCGCCCCCGCTCCCAACCCCCTCCTCACCTCCCTGCACATCAAGCGCACACCAATTCACACGTCTGCCTTCGCCGCACCCACAGGCAACAAAATCTTCGCCTCTGGCCGCCGGCGCTACTTCCACATCTGGGACCTGGACACCGGCAAAGTCGACAAGGTCAATGGCTCATCCGACCGCAAGGAAGAACAAAAATCCATGGAGCGCTTCAAGCTCTCACCATGCGGCCGCTTCGTCGGCCTGGTTGGCACAGCCCGCAAGGGCGGCGGTCTGATCAACGTCCTGGACGCCAACACCGCCCAGTGGATCGCACAGGTGCGTGTGGACGGCCGCGGCGGTGTCGCAGACTTCGCCTGGTGGTCTGATGGCGAGGGTATGACAGTCGTGTCGAAGAATGGTGAGGTCTCTGAGTGGGATGGCCGCGTAGGCCGTGTTGTGGCGCGCTGGGTCGATGCCGGTGCTGTCGGTACGACCGTTCTCAGCCTTGGTGGTCGCTCTGGCCGGACTCAGCTTGGTGGAGATCGTTGGGTCGCGATTGGTTCTTCGAGTGGTATTGTTAACGTTTATGATCGTCGCGAGTGGGCGGCTGCATATGCGAATGCTTCTGCTGCTGAGAAGGATTCCCCGGCTCAGTCTGGTATCCCGCGCAACCCTGACCCCGTGCGTGTGCTCGATCAGCTCACTACCCCCATTAGCCATTTGGTCTTTGCGCCTGATGGGCAGATGATGGTTATGGCGAGTCGGTGGAAGCGTGATGCTTTGCGTCTTGGTATGTTTTGTGGCCCTTGTGCTTTGTCTTTTGTAGGTTCTTTGCTAACCGGGTTTGTTCTACAGTTCACCTTCCTACCTGCACGGTATACCGTAACTGGCCTACTTCCAACACGCCATTGGGTCGTATTTCCTCGGTGGCTATCTCACCGAACTCTGAGCAGTTGGCTGTTGGTAATGAGCAAGGTGGCATCCGACTCTGGGAGATTCGGGGATAGAGGTCCGATACTGAATAAAATATTTATGTTTTCTTGTCATATATTTTCAACTCTGATAGGGCACATGCTTTTCATTATGTTGTACAGTCGCAGCCGTAAATCAGTATGGTCATTCTATTTTATATTAGGTGATCTCGGTATAGAGTTAGGGCTGAGTTATTGGATTGGATACCCAAAACATCCGCTGACTAGTCTACACCGGTAGGTTACAGGAAAGCACAGAACACCTAGAGTTTAACCAAATATACACGCAATAGTACTTTTGTAGCAGGCCAGTAACTTTTTGAGATTGTTGGTAGCTTTTTAGCAAAGAGAAACAAGTATCCAGGACGCCCAGGATCAGAAGGCAAAGAGTAGGGTTGAAATAAAAGCCATAAACACACCACAGCACATGCAAGTCGTGTCAAGAATGAAGGGTCATGGTCTGATTCGTGGGAGGGTCTATACTGTTGGCCTTGGTCAAGGTTCAGTAACAAAGGGGGTATCTGGGGCAAACAACAAAGGGGAAAAAAAGCATGGGAAAAGAAAAGAAAATATGTTAGCAACGATCATCTCCGGGGTGCTTTGCTAAATTTGGGCTGGGTATAAATTTGGAGGTTTTTAGAAGACTCTGACCACAGGGGAAGGGGGCAGATATTCGTAACCGTAACAGATAGGTGAGACTTGAGAGATTGAATGGATATCCACGAAAAGTTACTCTCCCGGCCCGCTCGAACCCCATCGCTGTGATCGCTTCCCTCGCTCGATATAGTTCTTGATGACGCAGGGAGCGCGATCAGGGCCCTGACAGACCTTGTGGCGGTTGAGATGTTTGAACTTCGGGCCAAGGGGTCCGTTCACGAAGTGGTACTGGCCTGCAAAGCGATACTGACGAGAATCGCCTAGTGGGTAGAACTTGTCACCCCAGTGGCCCCTGTAATGGAACCATTCCGTTGGGGCGGAGGGGCTAAAAGTGGACGCCCGCAGATGCTCTTTTGCAAAATCATAGGTGTAGGCCTGCGAGTTGAGAAGGGGATCCCATAGTGGACCGCGGTCAGTTACATCGTGCAGCAGTCCCCAGGGGAGAATGTACTCGTGCACTCCGGTCGAAGCGTACATGGCATGGCTGCCCTCGGCAGAGTAGATGACAGGCTGGCAAGGCAGAGTTAGTGAGATACTATTTGATGTTTGTGTCATTGAGAACGCACCCGTTGTCCGAGCTTCTCAACGGCTTCATAGCTGTAAGCCTCCCCGCCCTGGTGAGCGCTGAAGAAAAGCGCTTTCGGTTTGCCATTGTGGAATCGAACAAGACAATGCTCCCAGTCGCCAACGTGATTGCCAAAACGCACGTTGGCAACAGTGTTACCGAGGTTGAAGCTGTAAAAGTAGAACCAGAACGCATCGACGATTCCGTTGCCTTTGTCCATCACCACCAGGATTGCAGGGGCATCGCTTCGACCACCGGCACCATCGTCGTAGATTTTCTCTCCACCATAACGTTTGCGGATTTCTTCTTTGAGTATTTGCTGAGCTTGGAAATTTTCATCGGTGTTGGATTTGTGCGCGGCAGCAACCTCTTGTTGTAGTTGGAAATCATACCACTTGGCACGATTTTCCTCCGTGTCACCGGGAATATCACCATCGATTCGACCATCCCAATCTGCCCAGGATTCTTCTTTGTTGTTTCCATCTGTTTGCGGAATATTCTTATCGCCCTCCAGCCATGGTGGACGTGTTTGTACATCATCATTGCTCGTCAAGAAAACGTGTCTGCCCCTTTCCCACTTGTTCAACTCATCCAGATCGGCCAGAGTCGGATGGTCCCATTGGGCCTGAATCGGAGTGTAATTCAGGGTCGGAGTGGTATGATACAAGTGCTCTGCGATATCCCCAGGCCAGAACTGCTCGCCAGAATAAAGGTGAACGAGTGGGGCATAGTGGAAAACATAGTCCGGGATCTGCCGCCGAGCCCGCTCTTCGGCATCCCACTCGGACTCACTAGCCCCGCTAAGCCACCAGGAGCGCCATGGGTCTGGCTCGGCATCTTGCGCATTTACCCACTCCGCTGGATCACGATGTCCGAATTCGCCGTGTACAGTTTGTAAATGGGCTGCACCACAGATGCCGAGCCATCGGCAGGATTTGCGGTCGAACCACGAGTGCGAGCTCGCAATCCAGCTCCGCTCCTCCCGATCCTCGGCAGACCAGACAAAAGCAGCCGGTCGGAGTACGTGTATTATGCTGTTGATGGATACATAAGCGATCAGGGTCGAGAGCACGGCAATGGTTGCCTTGGCCTTCCGGGTCATCTGCTGGAGCGAGTCGACATAGACTGTCAGGGCCGAAGACCTATGTAGGGTATGTTCACAGACTGTGATCTCGGAAATTCCAGTCGAGGCTAAGGGTTCAATGCAGTGGGAGTCAAGTGATAGGGCTGCAGCGGTCGGACATTCCCCAGGAACTATGGTGGGACGAGAGATAACGAGAGTTGAGACGAGGGCGCACAACAGGACCGCGGGGTTACCTATATAAAAAATATACAGCCCTTTGTTAGTCCGGCTTTTCCAAGTCTAAGGTAATATATCCCGATTAATAATTCAAACAAGGGAGAAAAAAAGAAAAGAGACAAGGCAAGAATGGTCTAATATCTTGAACTAGTCAGACCGGGAACCTGCGGAAATGCATAGAAACCATAGCCAAGCCGGATGCGATATACCGAGTGCATAGACTTATCCGCCCAGAGCCGAAGCGGAAGAGAGGGGAACTTACGAAGGGATGATCCCATTGTTCAAGCTGTCCAAGTTGTCCAAGTTATTGCGGTAAACAGATGGGGGTTTTTTTTCTCCCATAAGGCTGACGAGGAGTCTGGGCACAACTTTACTTCCAAGGTTCAATGTTCTTCAATGTTCCAGACAAGTGTATAATATATGTACCTAATTCAGAAAATGATTGATTGCGGAATAAACCCCTCCATCTGAAACATCAAAAAGCAAATAAGCACGTCTTGTCATATTTGCCACCAGGTCCCATTTGTTGATTATATCCCACTCCGGAAGGGAGGGGAACCACTTGGGCATGCCCGTACCTCCAGGGTCTCACCGCTTGCAGAAAGCTGACTCATCTTTATCTTATCTCGGCTTTTTTCCAGGCCCAGACCTTCCAAGGTTGACCTTGCATGAATTCATCATGGATACAATGGGCTCGGAATCCGATGGAGAATATGAATATGAATATGGCACAGAAACCGAGGTAGGAATAATTGATGTCTTCTCTCAATCCTGCTAATCAATTGATAGACCTTTTATCTCAACCTGGACCTGACCGCCCACCATGGCCCAGTTCGCCCTCCACGTCGTCGCCCAAAGGAAGCAGCATCTTTGGAGAATACACAGAACCCAGCAGACGACATGAGCCAAGGATTTCCAAGCGAAGCTTATCATCCGATCGAGAGCGCCGAGACAGGCAGTCTCCCGAACGAACGAATCCAAATTCTCGACCTCCACACGACCAACCCAATCATCTCATACTACAACCAAATGTTCAGTTGCTCCTGGGCCGATCAAATTGGCACTGAGCTAGTTTTTGCCAACCCAGAAACAGAAACCGACGCGGAAACCCCCTTCCCTCAACCACTACACCGTGGACCCTCCTACGAGCTTGTAGCTGCCAACAGCGTGAAGATCCTCGGTCGGAAGGCACACCTCGCCCCCAGCGCTGGGCCAACAGTAACTCAAGGCTTTACCGAAGGATGCCCAACTACAGGACCTACCCCGGAGTCCGCATCTTCTCAGGGAGCCGACCCCCTCGGTGTACCGCGTCGTCCCACGGGGCCATCCCACCAGGCGCAGTTCCTCCACAGGTTGCAGCAGATCAAGAACGCCAAGGGAGAGGCCGATACCGTCCGCACGGTCATGAGTACACGTCGGCAGGTGAATATGACGGACAGACAGCAAGGCTGGGCCCGTACCGAGGCGCAGCTCGCTGAGATCGAGCAGCTGAACGAACGTGCCTCGAGAGGGGACTTGGAGGCCAAGGCGACCCTTGAGCTACTGATCCAAGAGCTCAATCAAACGCTCAACCCTGATGAAGCACAATCTGAGTCCGACTCGGACTTAACATCTGACAGCGACGATCTTACTTCATGAATGTGCAGATAGCAGTGTGCTGGCATCGACACAGAATTCGGGGCTAGACCCTGTGTGTTCGAGTCGATCATCGCCTGAACAACCCACCGGATGCCTGGATCTCACTATATCTACGTTGTAGTTTCTACCCACTTCAACTACGTAGCCGAGTTGTGCTGTCACGTGGAAGCGTGCCGGAAGTCGGGAACCGAGGAGCAACACTAGCGAAGAGATATTGATCCCCTTACTGGGAGCAAAGAGGCTACAACCGTGATGAAGAGACATGGCTGGTTTTCGCTTCCTACCGGAGGAATGGTATTACAACCCGGGACAATCATCCCAACGAGCAATCACCAGAATGACATGCCCCACCCAACTTGAACAGCCTATCGATGGAGCGAGCCATCTTAGCCAGTTTACCGCCCAGGTGGATCTAGAGGGCAACGTCATTCCCAACCCCAATGCAGGAATGACATCCTCACTTTCCTTAAAAACCACCGATCCCGCAAACCATGATATAATCCAACGAATATGTACAACATACTACATACAACATAGATTGCTCTTTGAGCCAATTATATGCTGCATATGGTGTTGCCCCTTTCGGCACCTGGAACGTCTGCATAGAGTACAGAGCTGGTTGTGCGACCCCATCTACTTTCACAATGCGAGACGGGTGATGTCGTGATCGACAGATCCTCACATGCAGCAATCAGATGGTTTGTTACTCGCGTGGGACTGCAGGTTCCTAGCTGTATATCTTGTTCTATGTAGTTGGTACTTTGTATTCCCGACGCACGAAAGTACTATTCTAGCTATTCTTCTAGCAACCATTATGTGAGTCAGTCACACCGTATCTCCGACTTCCCAAGGTTGAGTGTAAATACAGGACTGCCT